CAGCTTTCACCCAGCAACCAGCTCTACCCAATCAGACTCTAGTACTGCAACTGCAGGTTTTTGCATTTAAAAACCCTGATCTAAGAACAACTGAGTGAGTCCCAGCCTCCCTTGGTTGGCCCCACTTTCCTTTTAACCTACCTTGGTTAGCTCCACTTTCCCTCTTATTCCCGCTAATAAACCCTGCTCTCCTTAGCTCGCTACATCCATCCTGTTTCTTGAGGAACTCTGACCTAACAGTTTTTTGTATCTGAAGCCACAGCATCAGTCCTAACTATATCCTTTAGGAACTCACCTATGTCAAGGCACCATTTTCCTATATATTTTTTACTATAACTACTAGTGTTTCCTCCTACCAGATGCTAAAGAATAAACATTTCTTCATCTCAGTATCCTGAGATTGAGAACCATTATGATTTTAAGGGTGTAATTTGCAGGCTTCAAATATTTTACATTACAACCTATTACCATCTTCCCTCCACCAAGTTGTTACTTCCTGTTAAAAAGAAATGGGACTTTAAAGACATCTCTGGCATTTATTAGTATTTTGGTAATTTGGGAGTTAAATATGTAGAAAACATAATTTCACTGGTTACTCCTGTTTAAATACTTCTGTAACATGAATGAAAAGCAAAGGAATATTTGACTTAAGTGTTGTTGGTTCTTTTTGGCTGATCTTGAAAAACTGACATCCCTCTGAGTGACATTAACAAACAGTCATAGTGTTTCTGTTGTATTCTAGGCTGTATTTGAATAGCAAAACCTGTATTGATACCATGCCTCTTCTAAAGAGAGGGTTGTGTTACCAGAGGGGTTCATACATTACTACATAATGAGGTAGAATGGCACACACTCAGTTGTTCTTAATTCTGACTGCACATTAGAAACTTCGGTGGGAGTGGAGTTTTAAAACCTACTGTGGTCCTAACCACACATCAGAGATTCTGATTTAATTAGGTTGATCTGGGATCCAGGCATGGGGAATATTTAAAAACTCTCCAATTGATTCTCATGGGCAGCTAAGGTCGAGACACATTGGTAACAGGACAGTGCTTCACCTGGGGAGTTTGTTAAAATGCAGATTCTGATTCCGTAGGCCTGGGTGAAACCCTGACATTCTGCATTTAGATGGTGCCCGGCTGGAGGTGCTGAGGAACACTCTTGGAGTAACAGGGATGGTATAGAATTGGCATTATCTTTCAAATGGGACAAACCTGAGTCTGATGTTCAGTTTGCTGACTGGCTTTGTCATATCTCTAAAATGCAGTGCACGTTAATCCTGTCTTCTATAAAGTGAAAATAAACCTACATTTCAGGAATGAATGGAGTGAATGAAAGGTAGATGGAAAGGGACTGGCAGTGAGTAGTGAAATAAACGCTACTTCCACTTCACTTCCTCCTCTCCACCTTTCCAAGGGCCTCCAGCCAATGAAAGGGAAAGGGAAAGAAAAGGGCTGTTGTCTGGAGTGTGGTTGCTATGGGAACATTATTCTTCAGAGGAAAGGGATGGAGGGTGTTAGTAATCCCAGTGGCTTAGTGACTATCAACATACGTGTCTGAAAAAAGTGTCCTGGGATCACAGTTTTAAGGAGAAATTTTTGAATTTTTTAAGTATAAAATATACTTAGAGCCAGCTTTCTTATCTTTTCTTATGTTGGTCCTCCTATCTAAAATGCCCACTTCTCTATTCAGGGAAGTCACCTATTTCAGGTAATGAGAGGTTGCTAAGCAGGTATTTTAGGGGAGTTTGAGTGCATGGGTTATAACAGTGGGCCCAGTTGGGGGATATGCCAAACCAAGGCGGAAAGATGCTGGAGGCCAGAGTGTTCACACCAGCTTGATTTTGGACCATTGCAGTGGGAAGGCCTGAAGGATCCTTCAGGCAGTGGGAAGGCCTGAAGGATTTGGTAACACTGCATAAATGTAGTATTTTTGAAGCAAGCTGCTTGCATTGGGGAAGGATCAGAAGAATGAAAACAGGAGAAGGAACTGCCAATTACTTGGTATTATTTACTGATTGCCAATTGTGTGTGGGAACTCCACAATCGATGGAGGAGATACATAATAAATAAGACATGTATCCTTCCTTGCCTCATGAAACTCAGAGACAGAGTGTAACCAGTGATTAATTAAAATTATGATGTATGTGGAGGAACAATTCTAAGCGAAATGAGAACAAACAATAAAGGATCTAACCTGTTAGTTGAGGTCAAGAAAGTCTATCCTCAGCAATGGCTATCAAGTGACTAGAGCTGAGAACTTAGTGTTATATGAGGCTCCTTTGAAGATGGGAAAGGGGTGGGATAGAAGTGAGAGGTGAATTGTTTATCTCCTGACTCTACTGCTTCTTAAGTGAAAGCCTGTGGGCAAGTTACTTTCCAGGATTGCTGTGATGTAGAGACAAAGCTTTGTGAGTGGCACAGTGCTTATCACATAGTGAAGCTCCAAGTGGTAGCTATCCAGTCCTTTGTTCTCAGTTCCACTTCCTCAGCCCTGGCTATGCATCTGTGGCAGAAACATTAACTGCTACCTGAATAAGAAGCTGTCCCCATCGTCCAGCTTATTGTGAAGGACTGGTTCTAATGGTAAACAGAATGCCTTTTGCCTGGGTGAGTTGGCCACTCCTCCTTCCCTTTCCCTCTGTGATGAATATGTGGTCACATGTTGATATGTTGGAGAATCCATCTGGGTCCTTGCATTTACTATGTGGGGACCAATATCACTTCCTCCCCAAATTTCATTGCTCAAAGAGCTTGAGCAATAAGTGAACCTTATTTAAACACATCATTCTGAAGGGGTACATTCCTTACCTCAGCAGAATCCAGCCTATCCTTGCTAAAATGAGTGCCCACCACCAAGTATTTTTCATATACCCACATTTAAAGTAATATAAGGAGCCTGTTGCATTTCCAGAAAGATAAGATAAAATATGGCTTGAGAATATGGAATTTTAAGCCCAGTTAAAATGCACTAACAGGGAGTTCTGAGAGAACATTCCTTTGTTTGTTGTTTTTTTGCTGTTAATTTTTTAAAAATTTATTTTAATTGTAGTTCAAGTACAGTTTTCTGTCTATTACTCCTATCTCAGCTCACCCCCTCAGTGCTCCCCACCTCCATCCTAATTCCACCCCCCTTAGTTTTTGTCCATGTGTCCTTTATACTTGTTCCTGTAAACCCTTCCCCTTTTCCCCTGAAATTCCCTCCCCTCTCCTCTCTGATCACTGTCAGCCTGTTCTCTATTTCAATGCCTTTGATTATATTTTGTTTGCTTGTTTGTTTTGTTGTTTGGGTTCCTGTTAAAGGCGAGGTCATGTGGTATTTGTCTTTTACCACCTGGCTTATTTCACTCAGCATAATGCTTTCCAGTTCCATACTGTTGCAAAGGGTAGGAGCTCCCCCTTTCTTTCTGCATAGAGTTCCATTGTGTAAATGTACCATAGTTTTTGGATTCATTCATTTACTGATGGGCACCTAGGTTGCTTCCAGCACTTGGCTATTGTAAATTGTGCTGCTGTGAACATTGGGGTGCATAAGTTCTTTTGGATTGGTGTTTCAGGGTTCTCAGGATATAATCCTAGCAGTGGAATTGCTGTGTCAAAAGGCAGATCCATTTTTAGTTTTCTGAGAAAATTCCATACTGTTATCCATAGTATGGTTGTATCAGTCTGCAATTCCACCAACAGTGAACTAGGGTCCCCTTTTCCCTACAACCTCTCCAACACTTGTTGTTTGTTGCTTTGTTTATGATGGCCGTTCTGACTAGTGTAAAGTGGTATCTCATCATGGTTTTAATTTGCATCTCTCTGATAGCTAGCAATATTGAGCATCTCTTCATGTGTCTCTGGATCTTCTGTATGTCCTCCTTGGGGAAGTGTCTGTTTAAGTCCTTTGCCCATTTTTAAGTGGGTTGCTTGTCTTAGAGTGGAGTCGTGTAAGTTCTTTGTATATTTTGGAGATTAAACACTTGTCCTTGAAGGGCTCTCTATATATCAGTTAAGTCCATTTCATCTAGGGCATTGTTCAGTGCCACATATGTTTGTCGATATTTTGTTTGGAAGATCTGTCCATTTTTGACAGTGGGGTGTTAAAATCCCCTACTATAATTGTGTTGCTGTCATAATTGTGTTCCCTGTAGTTTCTGGTAGCTCATTGTGAGCTCATTGAACTTCCTGATAACTAATGCTTTGCCTCAATATCTGATAGTTGACTTGCCTCTACTTTATTTAGCATTCTCTCTGAGGTTTCCTTTTTTCTTTCATTTGGGGATTGTTTCTTTGTCTTCCTCTTGTTTTTGAGACTTCTTGTTAGTTTCAGCTTCTTAAATTAATCTATTCTGGCTCCCTGGATTTATGGTGTGAATTTCTGTGGTAGAATACTTGTGAGATTCAGTGGTATAGTCTCTTTGATCTTCCAAGCTCACTGGTCTTGGGGTGTCATTTAAGTTGGCTCTGTGTTTGTCTTTCAGTTTTTATTGCTTTTGGATCTTTCTTTGGTGGGTCCTTCCCACCAGCTGGTTAACTGAGGGTCACTCTCTCCAGCACCTCTTGTATTTTGTTGTGCTAGTGAGGGCAGGTTGTGTTCCATGTGTAGAAGGTTTTGAGGGTTCTCTTTTGCTCTTGTTCAGTAGTTTGTACTGGATAGTTTCTCCACTATTTAGTTGTATTTCCAGATAGGTCCTGGATTGAGGTTTGTGTGGTTTCCACTCCCTCCTTCACCTTCTTCTGTTGTTATCTGTTGGTGGTTGGTTCCTTTGTTGTTGGGTTTCCTCTTCCAGTGGGTATCCAGTGGGTGTTCACTGCTTCTACCTAGTCTTTTTTTTGTGATCAATTGGAGGGGAAGGAAAAATGGTTTAAGATAGCAAGAGAGTATTCTATGATATTTACAGTAGCACCGGGTAGAGAAGAGATAGGAGATCCTTTGGCTATGTATAGTGTTAACTGTGATCTTCCACCCAACTGGCCACTTTTAAGAAAGGATGGAAAGAAGATAAGATTCTTGTTAAAAATATGGAACACTTCACAAATTTGCATGTCATCCTTGTGCAGGGGCCATGCTAATCTTCTCTATATTGTTCCACTTTTAATATATGCCTTGCCCAAGTGAGCACCCTTTTGTTCTCTATGCAATAAGCTTAGAACAGATACATCAAACATTGGGAAGAAGGGAAACGACACCTCATGCTGTTTAGAACAAACTGCTTGCACTCTGTGAAGCTGTCAGTCTTTGCTAAGGTGCTTTTCAGTCTTTTGCTGAAGTGACTTGCAGACCCTCCACCACCTCAACCCCCTAGACCTCCCACTCACCCTAACATTGAACCACAGAATTGGTCTGTCCAATTCCTTCTTTAGAAATGGATTTGATGCTGGCTAAGACCCAGGTCACCACGTGGTGTGTCTAGCCTTCCACCTTCAGTATTCAGCCTTCTTCTCAGAGGAAGGTTTCTGCTTCTCCTCTCTTTGGCTTTTTAACTTGCCACGGACACACCACAGGACCACAGGGCAGTACATAATGTGGGCTGGTTGCCATGGTGCTCAACAAGGAGAGAGCAAGGTGGCTTTCTTGGGAAAAATGTGGCGATAGATCTATAGTGCCAGAATCTGTCTCTGTTCTGTCTGCTCCAGGGTCAGTCCATGCTGCCTCCCTGTCCCCACCTGTTTCTCCCTCCCTTCTTCCTCGAATTGATTTTTCGGGGCTGTTTGTGATGAATGTAGACATATTCTTTTTGGATATGAGAATTCTTTCCTAACCCGATGCAAAACTCTTCAAAGTAGGTTTTTTTTTTTTATCATATTCCTTTTTTTTGGTGTATCCTAAACCAGCTTCACCATCATCTTAAGCTCAAATAATTATGCTTTGATGAGCTTCTGAGAGTGTTTTTGTGCCTCTCTTTCTTCCTGTATAAATACTAAGCATCTTCTATGTGCCTTCTCTAACAAAAACACAGATAAATGCCAAAGAAAGAAAGAAAAACGAATACCTTGCCTTTTGACTTGACTATAAATGATTTAACTTTTTCTATTGGCATACTGGTATTTTTTAAAATTGAAATGATACCTTGCAGCCAGGTTGTAGAAGAAAAGAGAGCTGGGTGGTTTGGTTTGGCCACCAAGTGAATTTTAGTCTCCCATTTGTTCATTTGTTCTTATATTCAGCAGTTACTGACTGAACACAGAGGATGTACTAGATACAGATCTAAGTGCCAGAGACACAGCAGGAACTTGAAAACACACCTGCTTCCAGGAGCTTTCACTCCCCAACAGAGACACACTATAGACCAGTGGTTCTTAGATGTTAGTAAGAATCCATGTTATCTGCAGGTGGTTGTTAAAACACAGATTACTGGACCCTGTCCCCAGAAATCCTGATTTCTTAGAACTTAGATGAAACCCAAGAATATGCATTTCTAACAAGTTCCCTAGTTCCACGGACCACACTCTGAGGACAACTGATGTAGATGAAAAGGTAATTAATATAATGACATCTAGTGACAAATGCTATGAGGAAAGATAGTGTAAAGGGAACAGAGAATGTGGGGACTACTGTTTTAGGTCAGCACGTTGAAAAAGGCCTACTACTCAGCAGAGACCTGATTGAAGTGAGAGGATGGAGCGGTTGGGTGTCTCAGAAGAGCCTGGCAAGAGTGGCAGGCAGCCCCCTGGTCTGGCGGTGGGTATCCCAGGACCCACATACCTCTCTCTGTTACCCCATACAATCTCATGCATGTTTGGATCTGTTTTTTTTCTTTGTTTTAGTACTTCACAGCAGGAACAGTAAGTATCCATTTCAGACTTGACACCCCAGAATCCCAGTACCAAGAAGTAGACAGTTACATGAACCAGGCACTATTCAAAACCCTTCATAACCATTAACTCATTTCTTCCTCATAAAAGCCATACAAGGCATAATCTGTTATTCCTGCCGTTCAGATGAAGGAGCTAAACCACAGAAAGGTTAAAGTGATTTGCTTAGGATTACAAAGATAGGAAGTAGCAGAACCAGGATTTGAGATCCTAGATCATAAAGATTGGGTGGGCGGATGGATGGATAGATGGATGGACGAATGAAATGTTGAAATTTAGCCAAGAAGAGTTATCAGCTGGGTTTTATATTTGAAGAGAAGATCCATAACCTAATTAGAACGGAAAGGCAGGTATTGGCCCCACCGAGGAGAAAGAAGGCCATCGCAGGAGGAGTCCAGGTGAGAGGGAGTGTGATGAGGCATGTGGCAGAGACTTGCCAGGCAGGTAGAGGCTCCCTCTGTGCGAGAGCAGGGGATGCCACTGGAGGTGGGAGGGCAGGGGAAAATGCATTCAGCAAACCCCTTCTTCTCAAGGGATTCTGACAAGTGTGTTTTAATCTAATTAATACATTCAGGAAGTTGGGCCTGGAGGAATGTGATTATTTAATTGTTTTGTTCAAAGAGTATGAAGCAGGCTATTAGTCTGGGGTCATGACTCCAAGGTTCATTGCAGGTTATTACCTAGGAGGGTTTTGGAACAAGAGTGGCTGATTGATTCTTTCCCGCTGTTACCCTCATTAATTTACAAAGATTCATTGTGTTGGTGCTAATTTGTAGAGTCTGGAATGAAATGTAAAACAGATTCAGACTGATAAGAATTGTTTTGTATCTTATTCTATCTTGTTCCTTCCACTGCATTTTCCCTTCTAAAGATTTTCAGGTACATGAATTTTTAGCGTAATTATAATTAACTCTTTTTCCACATGACAAACATTGTTTTTAATAATTAAGCAGGGAGCAGAAAATTTTGGCCTTTCATTTCCAACAAAAACTTGCTTCTCCTGTTACTCTCTTTATGACCTAAGAAAAGTCACCCAACCTCTGCTGCTCAGATTCCCCTTCTGCGAAATCTGGATATAACATTGGAATTCAAACGCTTTCCCTTGCTTTCCCCATTAACATTCTTTAATGGCTCCCCTGTCCCGAAAGACCAGAGTCAAGCTCGATGGTCATAACCCTTGATTTAGCCTCAGTTTTCTAGTCTCGGATTCTGCCACTGTTGAGCGAGTCTTTTCTGTTCTGTTGTATCTTCAGTGATGTCTTGAGTTTGCTGTCTTCTGTCTTTGGAAAGACTTCTCCTGCCTTTGGAAATTTGCCAAATCCCTTTTCTTCCTCTAACGTGTCACCACAGTTGTGAAGCTTTTCTGGCTGCCATAGGCCAATTACTCAACAACCTGTGTGCGTTCCTGGTCCCTCCATTAACACTGCCACGTTTTGTTGTCATTATTTTGTGTGAGTGGGAGTATGTATCAGTGTGGGTGTGTCGTCCACTTCCTGAGGGCACGGAATAGGTGCCCTCTTAAGCAATTCTAAATGCCACACTGCTAACAGACTGACCGGCAACAGCTGAAACTTAACATGTGTTGATTGGATGAGTAGATGAAAGAATATCTGTCCTGTCTGACATCTACAATTTTGAGGATCAAATTACATATTAGATGTTAAATGCTGTTTATAAATCCCGAACTACAAAATAGTGTCCCAATGTAAGGAATCATTTCTTGACGGATGTGCTCTAAAAATGTTTTCTAATGCCTTCATGATCATGGGGTTTGAAATATGTCCTTTTTTTCGTCAGAAGCAGTCATTCATTTGTTAATCCACTTATTTATATGATTAACAAATATGCCTGACAAGCCTTGCACTAAGCAGAGAAGATAGAGTGAAAAATAACAGAAAAGTGGTCAGGCCTCATGGCTTTCAGAATCACAAGGGATGAGACTTGAGTGATTCCCTGAGGGTTTGGGCTGAGCGCTCCTTCACTTCTGAGCTTGTTCAGTGCATGACCCCAGATCAAGTCCACATCACCTGGCCCCTTTGTTCAGTATGATGTTTAGATCCCCAGTGAGCTGGATCTTGCCTCTGAACTTGTTTTTTCTTTGCATAGCCGTGACGAATCCACTCTTTCTCAGTGTACCCCCCCACCCAGGGAGGACAGCAGCCCACTTTCTGGGCTGCCAGGAGCTGCAAAGAAAAATGCAGAATGAACCAGTTTTCATTCCTGAGACCTTGTTGGTCTAAGATCATGGATTGCATTTCAACCTTTACCCTTTAAATCCCAATATAGTATCAAAATTGAATCCAGGTATTTGATGTAACATATCCGACCTTCCCTTGATAAATAGTTATAATACTGTCAGAAAGGCAGCCTGAAAGTGTTTTTTTTTCTTTCTGGTCTCTGGTTTCATATCTGAAAGAGATACTTTGCTTCTGTGATCACTAGTAACTGCTACGAATTTCTTCACTCAAAATTGTCCAATTCAACCACTCACTAGCCTTAACTACTTTTGGCGGCCTCTAGCTATGACAAACTGGTTTCTGATGATTATTTTCAGGAAAAGTCGCCTTTCATTGCCTCAGTCTGGCCCCCTGCTCTCCCATTGCCTCTATAGGGAGCTCAGCTGAGAAGGAGGTGGGGGGGACAAGGGGTCAAATCTGTTACTTTTTATAGAGGCGGAGTGAAAATAATTTCCTGTGAAAGTTGAGGACATTCTTTCATTAGTTTTGCTTCCTGCTCTGGGTCTTATATGCTGGGTGATTTTTTTTTCTTTGGGAGCTTGCATGGGCCAACTTCCTGTGCCTGAGGCTGCTGAGAGATAGAGTTTTATGAGTTCGGCCCACCTACACAGCGGTGAGCCTGGGGATAGTGATGAATGAACAGAAGAGAGCCGCCTAAGCCATCCCGAGACATTCTGGACACAAGTTCAAAGAAGAGGCCTCAAAGAGGTGTTTTGGAAAGCAGCCAACCATAGAATTTTAGGGTTCAAGAAGACTCGGGGTGGGAGCGAATATGTTCCAACTTCCTGCCCCATGGATTTCAATGCTAATCCTCCAAAACTCGCTCTTCCATATATGAGTCACTGTATATTTGCTGAGAACCAGCTGTGTGCTGTATGCTACCCTGAGTGATGGATGGGTTGATCGGGCAGTTGCCAGAAACCCAACTCAAACAGACTTAAGCAAAAATGTATTGGCACATATAACTAAGGAATCAGGGTTGTCTAGTTTCAGGCAAGGCTGGATACAGGTGTTCCATATCTTTAAGAATCTGTCTCTTTCTTTGTATCTTAGAATTGAATTTTTGTG